CAAGGACACTTGCCAGAGTGATCGAGAGGTCAAGAGCTGTCGGGAATGTCAGCGCCGAAAGCAACCATCTGTTAAGCCAGCTGGTTTGCTTCAGCCCATCGAAGCACGTCGTTCGACCAAGTCGGCATGGACATTCTTGAGCCATTTCCCCTGTCTGCGGACAGCAACAAATGGGTGATCGTCGCGACCGACTATTAGACACGCTACGCTGGGACGCAGGCGATGTAGCACAATTTTTCATGCGTCACATCGTGTTGAGACACGGTGCTCCTTCCAGTGTAATAACTGACAGAGGGACGGCATTCACGGCGCAGCTTATGGACACAGTTTTCAAACTGAGCAACACCAGACAACGAAGGACAACTGCGTGCCACTTGCAAACCAACGGACTTACCGAGCGACTGAATAAGACCCTCGCAGACATGATCTCAATGCACATCGACGTACAGCACAAAACATGGGACCGGATCTTACCTTACGTGACCTTCGCGTATAATACCACCGTGCAAGAGACCACGCGATTCACGCCATTTCGGCTTCTCTACGGCCGCGAAGTGCAGACCATGCTAGACTCAATGCTACCGTGTCAGGACGAAGACGAGTTGGGAACAGACGCCGAAGAATTCGCAGAGCGTGCCGAGGAAGCCCGGCAGCTCGCGCGACTGCACATCGGCCAGCAACAGCAGGCAGACGCACGACGCTATAACACCCGCCACAAAGAAGCGTTTTACAACCCCGGAGATCTAGTTTGGGTGTGGACGCCCGTCCGCCGCCGTGGCCTTAGTGAAAAGTTACTGAGCCGGTACTTTGGCCCCATATAAAGTGTTACGCCGCGTCAGTGACGTGAACTACGAAGTGGTTCCGGACTCAACACTCCATGCACGGAGCAGGACCCGACTGAGGCCGGACGTCGTTCATGTGTTGCGCATGAAACCATTTATTGTGCGTTGCTCGTAACTTTTCCTTTACCTACAGCGTTCTTTGTGTTTTTTGTTTATTTTTGTGAACTTGCTTTCTCGTTCATTGACGTTTCTTATATTGGCACGCTCTTCAATTTCTACTTCCACTTTATCCGAATTTCCAATTTCTTTTTCACGTGCCTATGTAGTAGCATCGCGGTGCTGCAATGTACTTTTCTTTCCTCTTTTTAGGACTTGTTTTTTTTTTTTCTTTTCGGAAGGCGGGGATAATGCCACCAGCACGTAGTGGGTCGACAGCAAGAGCTGCTCTCACTCTGGAGGAAAAAGATCGCGTGCTGCTTCTCTGCTCGAGAGCCAGCCACGTCTGACCGGTGGTTTAAGGGGGGACGCGGGGATCAAATCGCGAAATTCTCGCAAAAAAACGAATTTTGGATAAGGGCAGATTTGGATTCTGCATCACCATTTCTATCATATCTAAAAATATTTCCGCCGAAAACGATCTCAAAGTAAGCTTAAAAAATGTTTTTCTGACCGCGGATCGCAAAAAGCTGGCTGAAATCTGCGCGAAAATGGCCCATTTCCGAGCGCGATACTTCTGCGCCTTCGCCGCCGCTCGCGGAAAGCTTGGTGTCACTGGAAAGCTTGCTTCACCGCCGTACTTCTCCCGGTGAAACCACGACTCTACGAGCTAAGATAAACGCACAAACAGAAAAAATGCGAAGGCATCCGCGACGCCTTAGACGCGCACCCATTGGTCGCTCCTGTCACGTGGTACTGAGCGCGCTCTGTGAGTGGCTGCTGGGACGCGCTTGCTTGCGCTGGTCGTCTGCTCCGCGCACGCACGTCTGCTACGCACACGCTGGCGCACTATAGTTTGCGAATCCCCTGCCGATACGCCGATACGGTCGCCGATACGCCAACTCTTCTCTAGCGCGAGGCTTAGCGCCCGCAATGGATCGTCGCGTGGACCGGAAGCGCAGGACGAAGTACCGGACGAAGTACGCTTACGGGAAGCGTAAACGCAAGCCTCCTGTTGGGAAAACGAAGCAGTCAGCAGCGATTGAATCAGACGAACCGAGTACCCGCGTCGCCACCAAGCTACGTGTCGTCGGAAGCCGACACCTGCTCGCTGCCGATGCTCGGCAGTGAGGCCTATGACGCGGGGCCGTCAACTAGCCGCGACGTTGCGGTGCGGCCTGAACGCGAAAGAAGTTTCGTTTTCGCTGCGGCGGGTGACGATGCGGTGCCGGCTGTTCAAAGTGACGGTGAATCGACGCCTGGCAGTGACACTGAAGACCCGGGGCCATCAACTAGCCGCGGCATCATGGTGCGGTGTGAACGCGAGAAAAGTTTCGTTTTCGCGGCGGCGGACGACGACGATGTGGTGCCAGCTGTCCAGGATGTCGGCGATCGTTTGCCTCAGCGGAAGCGCACCGTTCAAATACACCTGGAACCTCGTTTCGTGTCCTCGGAAGGCGCCGAGAAGCAAGCCAGCAGTGTCCGCGATGCACTTCGCGAGGTGTCGGCAACGGAGCGGAAGTTCGGGTTCGCGCAGCAAACGAAGCAAACATCGGCAACAAAAGAGGATGAGTTCACCCTAATTCAGGTTTCTGCCATGAATTCCCTAATAGGACCTGCACTCTGCCCAAAATGTTGTAAGAAGACTTTGTCAGTGCAGCATGGGACAAAATTGGGCCTGGCAGTAAAACTGGTACTTTTGTGTGCTTCCTGTGGCCCTATTCATTCACCTTGGTCATCCAGTAGAAAATCCGAAGGAAGGGCTTTTGAAGTCAACCTAAGAGCCATGCAAGCAATCAAGTCCATTGGAAAAGGGCCCACTGCCCTGAATGACTTTTGGGCTACAATGAATGTCTCTCATCGGGGCATTCATCAAAAAACCTATCAGGAACACCTAAAAAAAACATTCAAACCAGGAGCAGAGGAAGCTGCACAAAACATCTTTGCAGATGCTGTGCTTGCGGTAAAAGACGTGTACAGTAAGATGCAGCCATCAAGCCCAAACAACATCACAGTTGTGTATGACGGCACGTGGCTTACAAGAGGCCACAGCTCACACATTGGGGTAGGATGTATTATTGAGTTTTACACGGGGCTTGTGCTGGATTGCACAGTCCTTTCCAACTTCTGTCTTGGGTGTTGTCAACAACCAGCAGAGAGCGACCCCAACTTCGTCACTTGGGCTGAGAAACATCAATGTCAGAAGAATACTGATGTTGGCTCCGGACAGATGGAAGTGGAGGCTGCTCTGACACTTTTCAGGCGCTCTGTCAGCAGGTATGGCCTCCGCTACACCAACATTATATGTGATGGTGACAGCCGAACCTATCTTGCTCTGTGCAAAGATGAGGTGTACGGCTTCATACCACTGACCAAAGAAGACTGCGTGAACCATGTGCAGAAGAGAATGGGCACCGCTCTCCGCACACTGGTGACAAGAGCTAAGAAAGGGGAGCCATTGGGTGGGAGAGGTGGACTGACGCAGGAGTTGATTAAAAAACTGACCAGCTACTACGGGTTAGCCTTGCGAAAACACACAAGTGTCCCTGACATGCAAAGGGCCGTGATGGCCACTTTTTATCACGTCACGTCCACCGACGACGAGCCTCACCATGAGCTCTGCCCACCTGGCCCTGATAGCTGGTGCAAACATCGTTCAGCACAGGCCAAAATGGAGCCAGCACCACCTCACAGGTATAACCTGTCGAAACGTGTAGCGGAGGCTCTGCTGCCTGTATCTCTCTGACCCGCAACTGTTGGAGCGATGCAAAGGCAACAAAACTCAGAATGCGGCGGAAAGCTTGCATTCAGTTATTTGGTCACTGACTTCAAAGGACCAACACGCTTCATTGTTCGCAGTGGAGACAACAGTACATGAAGCAGTTGCACGCTACAATTTTGGGAATTTGCGAGCCTACACTGAAATGTGCAAGTCCGTGGGCATCAAACCTGCTAGCCTCGCCCTTCAAAGAGCTGAAGAAAAAGACCAGCAAAGAAAACGAAAAGCACGCAGTGCAGAAAAAATGAAAGAGAAAGGACGTAAGAAGACCCTCGCAAGCAAAGACACAAAGTATTACAGTCCCGGGGCATTTTGATGGACCTTTACTGACTGTTCAACTTTAACGCCAGTTTTCTCAGAAATGTGTTTTGACCCGACTGTCCAGCTTGCCACGATGCTTGCATGACTATGGCTTGACGGATTTTCATGTGGTTTTTTGCATTGTGTTCCTCAGTGAATTTTCTATGTCGTGACGTTTTCATATTTGTTAATTACTACCTCAGTATTTTTACTCCTAAGCTAATTTCACATTATGATAACGACCACATTTACAAGCATGTATACAATGTTCTCTGTAAAATAAAAACAGAGTCATAAAAATATTTGCAGAATGTCACGACATCAACCATCCCAATGGCTAAAATATAAGAGCAACTATAGGCTTCTACCATGTTTTTTTGTCACACCAGGCTTTGGGCAAGTTTGGTAGTACACTGATGGATAAAAAAATTTATAATGCCATAACTACTGGAGATAGCTGAATGAAACTTTGTCATTTATCATTTAGCGCAGTTTCCAGTAAGCATGCCAAATTTCATTGCTCTACGACAAAAACTAAAGAATTTCACTTTCGATCCCCACCTCCCCCCTTAATAAATCCCCCAGTACTTGTGACTCATCGTGACAATATGTTGCAAGTTAAACTTTGTTTCTCTCACACACCCTTTAATACCCCAAAGTCCTAGGATTCAATCATTTTATTAAACTTGTGCAGTTGCCAGGAAAAATCTCCAGGATAAAGAAATTTGTGCCTTACCTGTACAAATCCAACCAAACCCAGTCTTTTCCAAGCTTTAAAATTGATTTCACAAGATATGAAATTTTAGTAATCTGAATATACTATGCTGCACTTGTCATTCCTTTTCTCTCCTTTCGTGTTTTTGCCAGTTTTTTTGCACAGTTACATTATGGATACGAAGGATTTTGCTTGTCATTTCTGGTAACTAGGGAATCTTAGTCGTGCAAGTTGTCTCAGTGGCTGCTGGTCTTTTCTCGATGTGCAGGCTGCTTCAAGTGTGGTCAGGAGGGCCACATGAGCAGAGACTGCCCAAACTCGGATTCCTCGGGTGGTGGAGGAAGCGGAGGAAGAGGTGAGTGTTCTTTTCGAGATCTATTTTTGTCTGGCATGTATAGGACACCACGCAATTGATGCAGCCAGCTCGTAACTGCACATGCAATGGAAGGCTAGCTTTGCATATATTCTTTCGTAGACCCGCCACTGCGGTCTAGTGGCTAAAGCACTCTGCTGCTGACCTGCAGGTTGCGAGATCGAATTCCGGTTGTGGTGGTTGCATTTTCGATAGAATCAAAAATGCTTGAGATACGTGTGCTCAGATTTGTGCACACTTAAAAGAACCACCAAGTGGTCAAAATTTCAGGAGCCCTCTACTACAGCATCTCTCGAAATTCAGCTGCATGGTAGTGAAGATTTTTAGGCAGCTGAAATTTCTGGAGCCCTGCACAACAGTGTGCCTCTCAATTGGCACATAACTAACATTGCCTTGGAGGTAATGTGGTGCAATAGTAACCTACAGACAGCGTCGGTTCTGTGGTGTCTTTCAGGATGCTTCAAATGTGGCCAGGAGGGCCACATGAGTCGTGATTGCCCAACAGCTTCTAGTGGCGACAGACCCAAGAAGGGTGAGTGTGCTCATCTGGTATACTGGTAACCAAATCTCCCGCGTTGATAAGAAATTCTCCTGGAAAGCAAAATTTTCATGCTTTATCAAGCCACATTAAGATACCGAACCTAATCTGATATAGGCTTTCATGGGCCTCTAGCATCTGGCTGAAAAGCATCTTTTCACCAAACTCTGCTCGTGATTGGATACCGACCAGGGTACTGAAACTGTTGAGGGACAGCAGTAATGCAATAGTCTGACCTCTGGTCAACGTTTGCCACAACTGCTGTGGATGAAGCAGTGCTCGCTATTGACTCAATCATGTGTGGAGGCGAGGAACTTTGTTTCTGAATGACTGCCAGGGTGTATAGAGCTCCCTTGTTTTTATTGTGCTGTTGATATTCTAGTAAATACTAGCTACATCAAAATCAAAGTTGCTTGAACATTATTTTGGATATTGATTTCGTACTTGGTTTCTGTACTCTTTAAAACAGTTAAAAAGCACCTTGTAGTTTAGCAACCTATGCTCTAATTATCAACACCTAATTCCAACCGCAAAGTGGAAAAAGCCATTTTCTTCCAAAACGTGCAAAAAATGCCGTAACCGAACCAAACTTATTGCGTGTGCCATTCTCGTACCACGCGGTTGACCTGCGCCATCTTAACGTTATGAGCGTGAATTTTCTCTCTCGTTTTTAGTCTTGCAAAATGTTTGAGATGCTATTTGCATTTTTCCGCGGAGCAATATGGAGCGCAGACTGGCTAGAGTAATGTATCGTATCTTGCTGGAGAAGGCATGTCTGCCATCGGCTGCTGCGCAGCAACGGGGACGTTCGCATCAGCCTGCGTCTTCTGCATCGCTCTTTGCCTTTCGTGCTTTCTTTTCGATCATTTCCTCCTCTACATTTTCTGTTTTCACGAGTTCCCTATTTGTCTTTGTTGTTACGCACGATGCTAATAGCGATGCTGAAGACAGTGCAAAGGTCCTGTGCCCGGAGGCGCTCTATGCAGTTTGTAGAAGCATTAAAATTCCGCTATTCTGCGGGGAGTGCCCACTGTGTACATGCTTGCAATGGCAGAACTGCACTGTCATTAGTCGCCAGTTGAGACTATGACCACGTGGCCCAGTGCCACCATATTGGTCTTGCTTTGCTCGTGAATTCTCGCTCTTTTTTTTTTCTTCGCCACTTGCTGCAGCAGCAGCGGCAGCATGACTGTTCTGCTGCTGCTTCTCCTATTGATTGCTGCCATCGATGACTCATCTGTTCCCACGGCTCGCAGTCTGCTCTGGCGCCTGCGTTGCAAGCAACGGTGTTTTTCTTTGGCATGCGTTGTCTTGTTTGCCATCATTCCGCTCGGTTCTCATGCATGCGTCTCGTGTTCGCGGGACACGCTGATTGTTCTTCTGTCACTAACGATGAGCAGGGCAAAGTTTGGGACTCTGCACTTGTTCGGTTCAAGGAACGTCCGATGAAGCTTGTACGCATGGTGAGGCTCCTTCATGCGCCAACGCGTGGGCGACAGTCGCATCGATGCTGAGCAGCTTTTCCTTCGTCTCCTCAAGATGACTGCATTGATGCTTCTCGTCATCAAGAATCGGTACAACGCTCAGTCGTCACAAGTGAGGCTGGTGTTAGTGTTTCGTGCTCAAGTGCACCTGGTGTGTTGCGCTGACTAACTGCACTGATTACGGCCCCGAACAGTGCGACCGCGTCATTGACTGCATTTGCAAACACTTTTTTGGACGTGCGAGGAGTAAGCCGCGGGGGAATAGCGAACGTGTTGCTGTGCAACCACAGCTCGGCGCTATGTCTGCAACTGACGGCGCTATGTCAGCAACCAACGGGCGCGGAGAAAGACTTTGTGTGAAAAAGGCTCAAGAACAGTTGCAACACAAGCAGGAAAAAGTGGAAAAAGAAAAGTCTTGAAGAACATTTCCAGCGATCTTGTGGGGTCATTTTATACCGAAATGTTTTCGAAACTTTCAGTCTGGTTTCTCAGAGCGACTTTTTTGGCCATGGGGCCGTTTTGTCTGGTGATATCTCTGCAACTGTTCATCTGATTTCTATCATTTGTTTTATGTACCCTAGTGAGTAGCCCACATAGTTTTTTAAATTGTTTGCAATTTGTGATAATTGAAATTTCATTGATAAATGCTCAATGGCGACTGTTTCAGTTTACACTATTAAAGGAAAGTTTTTAAAACCCATATCTGCTCTTAATGCCAAGCTTGTATTAATTACTCATCATTCACTTCTAGAAAATTGCTTCTAATGTTTTTATCGCTGTAATTTGCAATTTTTGCTTGTAACGATATTACCAACTTCCTCGTAAATCGTCTGCACATATTCTGCAAACAATCTCTTGTGCCTTGCATGATGTAGGTGTTGTTGACTTGCAGTAAGATCTTGGCACGTTTCCCGTTTTTCAGGCTGCTTTAAGTGTGGGGAAGACGGCCACATGAGCCGGGATTGCCCTAACCCACAGCAGGAGCGGCGCTCTAAGGGATGTTTCAAGTGCGGTGAAGAAGGGCACATGAGCAGAGACTGCCCGGACTCTGGTAGTGGGCGAGGGGGAAACTCCGGTGACGGGGCTGACAGGCCCAAGGGTTGCTTCAAGTGCCAGCAGGAGGGCCACATGGCCAAAGACTGTACAAATGAGCCTGTGCCTCGCACGGGCCCCGATGGTGAGCCAGACTTTATTCAGTGCATTCGTAGTGTGGTACTTAAAGACTTGAGACACTTGGCTGTAGGCTAGTTCTTCTCAGTCATGGGTGTTTTGGGTAGCCCTTGTTGAAGTGATAAGAAAACACTGGCAGTGAGGAATGAGGGGGGTCTTTAAAAACTCGTAACGACAGGTGCCTTTGTGCCATGCCAACATGCTATTGATGGCTTGCTAGCTAATAATTAGGTTTTGACTGGAGTGCCAGAACACAGCCTAGCGGCACGCATGCGGTTCCCTCCCTGCAAGAGTGGCCGGTTTGGGGCATGCGTGCGCGCGTCTGTTTTCTGCGTGTTCCTTACGGCCAATGTCAGTGAGCTTGGGACGAGGCAGGGCAAAGAACGCAGCTGCTCTCCTATAGGCACTAAGGAACAAGCACAAAGCTCACAGGGTCTACTTTAGCCAGCTACGTCGTCTTTGGTGCCATTTTGGTATACAGATCTCCAAGGCCATGCTTTTGAATAATGATCGCTGTCTTTAGGGGCGACACGGGTCTTAGAAGGCCAAAAATCGCGCCTATTTTTGCACTCATCCGAGAAGTTTCTAGCTTCTCGCGTCTTCATTTCTGGCGCAAAATCAATTTAACATCCCTGTGAGATGAATGTGAGCGCAAATATACGCTAAACTCGCGCTTTTTCTGCGGCAAACTGTTGCCGTTACACACGAGCTATCGTGTTCATATTAGTCTCGTTTGGAAGGGTCGTTTTTATCTTCAATTTTCCGCCACCGCTAGCTCACCTTGCTCATTGGTTTTTTTAGCAAAAACACTAGTGCGCAAACCGCGCACTAGTGTTTTTGAACCGCGCACTAGTGCTTCTGTTTTAGCAAAAACAGAAGCACTAGTGCGCGATTCAATTGGCTGCTTGGGGCACGTGACCAAATTTAAGCATTCGATTGGCCAAGGGGCGCTTTCGGCGTCTGCTTCCTCATCGTGACGTGCACGGACATGCGCCACTTTGTCATGGTGCTACAGTAGTTTGTGAAGCGGGTGTGGCGGTGGTTCGTTCTCTGTGAACTTCAGAAAAAAATCCCCTCTATGACTCTGGACGAAGATAACGAACTCAACGCGGTCAAAGGCGGTCGCAGAGTCACCGGTGTAGGCCTAACTCACGTACGAGCCCGTTGGTTGCCGACGTTACTGAGAACGGCTGTGTTTTGCAGTCTCATCCGTTAGAGGACGGCAAGTAAAAAGCAGAAGTGAAGCTACAAGAGCTATCAATCTTTGTAGTGACGGAATGGAACCGCAGTCTTATCGCTAAATGCGCCGATGCCGCGATTTCCCCGGCCTGATGAAAAGACCTTGAACTGTGCGACGAGTAGCCAGAGTGGAGTACGCCGTGCGTCGACGAACAACAGAAAGTCAATCCGTTTGCGGTGAACATGCTCGCGGCCCTCGAAATGGAGGCTACTGGCAACAGGTAGACTGCTTTTAACGACGTGTTCGCAACGTTGTCACGATCTCCGCTCGAAAATGCGGCAGTCTTACGTGAAAAGGAAACTAACACCTCGGCACTCGTGTAGCCTCAATTGATGAGCGAGGGAGCAAGTTTGGTTCGCGACAAGCCAGAAAACATCGCCGCGTTATTCGACAGATCGTGGATGACGCACGCACATTTGTCGCACATCGCCATCAGTAGTCACCGAACTGATAAGCGGCCTCTCTGCAGACGAGCACACGGCGACAACTTGCTACAGGACTAAAAAAAACGACACACTCGTACAATCAGTCCTACTACATTCCCGGTGCATATTAACTGACTAAAAGTATGTGTGCCATGAGATTTTTCCCTCTGAACGGCGAAATAAAGTTTTAACTGCGTTATTCTCGAAGCAGACTTTGACCACTTTATTTTGCTTGTTCGGTAAAAGTGGACCTAGGACAGCTAGAGCTGTAATTGTTTTTGCACAATGTAGCTAAATGTGCACAAAAAACAATGCTGGGAGCCTATTTTTAATGGGCAGCTTAATTTTTTTTATTTTAATATTAAAATTTCTGTATTTGGTTACATGCAATGAAATTTACCTGTGCTGTAATTCGAGAAGTACTCGTTCAATTTTCGATCAGCTTGCAGCATTGCACTCCTTAGGCTTTCTAGCATTCATATATATGTCAATGACTATGTAATTATAAGTGCATACATTTTTATAGTTAAAAATGTTGGAATTCTTTGCTTTCTTCATTTTCTCAAAATGGCAATATTGTACACCCTGCATGAAAATTACTGCAATATATCTAAACTATTACAGATAGCAAATATATTTATTTTGCAGCATGAAGCTATATGTTTGGAGCACACAACATAGGAAGCAGATTTTGATTTCTCTTGATGCAAGTTATTCAAGCTAGTCTTTTGTGTGACTACACAATGGCCACATTCAGGGCTGTGAAGTTTAGTGTACTGTAAAGTAAGAAATAATGACCCATTCAAAAAAGTGCTTCTTATGTGGCATGTCTTATGCTGTCTACTGTCAATCCCTATGTTATTTTGAAATTTTTGACAGGTGGTTATTTTTCTATTATGGTAAGAACAATAGAAATTGTTATCTTGATTATTTTATTAACTAATAAGCTACATTAGAAAAAAGCATGCCAACTTTTGTCACACTTGGTTCAAAAATAAATGAGAGAGCCCTAAGAACCATGTCCCCCCTTAAGCCAAGTTTGTGGTGCGATTGATATGTGCAGTTTGTCTGCAGGTACTGAAAAATTGAGCGGCTCAGCAGGATTACGTGGGATTTAAGGAGGCCGCTGTTGTCTGGATGTATACATTATCAGGGCGCAAAGAAAGAGTCTGAAAGGGGTCCGCAAGGGTGCTCGCTCAACAGCGTGAAAATGTAAAATCTGCACGGAAATTGCAAGGGGCACCTGCACAGAATTTTATGGTTGTAAAGTATAGCAACCTTATTATATTAAAAACTAATTTTTATATAGAAAACTTAAATATACGCCTTCATTATACAGTCAAGCCCGCTTATAACGAACATGAGCCTGATGTGGCATCAATTCGCTGTATACCGAAGCTCGTAGTAAATAAAATAATTTTTTAAAAGTTGCGAGTGAAAACACTTTTTTGCGCAAAAAAGTCCGTGATGCACGTGTTCAGAAGAGCAGAAGCGATAACGGGTGGTCTCGAGTTCATTTAAAACAGCAGGGTGCTCGTTCGCAGAGGTCCATGGCATAAGCTGTATGAGGCACTGGCTCCTAAGTTGAGTCGATCTCGCAAACCAGTTCCTCCAAATCGCTCTCTCCACGTACTTCATTCACAATGCTCTAAATCGTGCACGGTTTCGCAGTGTCGACATCATCGGCCGTAATTGAACCATCGCAACAGATGTCCCACCCGCTCTCCAGGTCGGAGTCGACGACGCGCTGCCACAAATCTGCTGCAGAGTGACCCTGTTCGGAAGCTTCAGGCTTGGCATTGGGCCAGACATCAACGAAGTAGGTCTCGCAAAGACAACTTCACGCGCATGTAGCCGTCATCACCGCCCACGAAATTTTCACAATCTCCACAGCTGAACACCGGGACCCCTGAAGCACCAAGTTGGCTGCCAGGTGGTCAACAGTTATAAGCAAGCGCTCCGCAACGTGGCACATAGTGCGAATTACGCTCAAGCCAAGCGGTCACACTTTCGACATTTTGTTGAGCGGCAGGAAAAGCCGTGCAAGTCCTCCCGTCTGCCATCCTGACCACACACGCACACCAAGAGTGAGCAAGACGCACACACGCGACACACATGCCAGAAGTGTGCAGCAGCTCTGGGCCCGTTTCCAGTCAGAAAAAGAAACTGTAATTTGAGCCAGTGTGGCTGGCGCTGCAGAGCGGTGGAGACTGGCAAAGGGTTTGTGATCAAGAGATAAGAGCAGATTTGATTTGCGAGAGAAGGGCAAGAAGTGGTGATAGAGTGAAGAGAGGGGAGGATGCGGTGGTAGGGCGACCTTGAAAACCAAAACACACGGGGAGGAGGAAGATCGAGTAGCTTGCTTGAAAGGTCCGCGCAACCCTCGTGTCGAAATACTGCGCGCACAGAAGTGGAAGCACGGCCGCCTGGACCGGTCGCACGACGGTGTTCAAAGAATTGGCGGCCGTGGTCAAAAAATATTTTTGGCCGGCAGGTTTGCATGGCCTGCGATATTTCACCATTTGTTCCGTACAACACCCGTTTTCGCTTTTCGCGCTTCCGAATGCGTGCAAAGGGCATGCTGAGCCAAGTGTGAAGTGAGCAAGAACAAGTCCTAAACACGAAACGAATCGCAAATTATCATTCGGTGGGGTAGCGCACACGCGTGCACTAGATGCAGACGATCGGATACAGTTGGTGGCCGACGATGTTGGCAAATGGTCTGGTCACTCCAGGCTTGCGACGCCAACGACAGTACCAGCAATCAAAAACAGGGGAGATGGCTGACTGATCTTCGAAAGATCGGTGGCAGTGTGAAAACACAAGCCTCGTCTGGCGATGCGGGGTGCTCAGAGTAGCAGGGGGAGGGGGGGGGGGACAAAGGACGGAGGAGTGGGTAACAAAAAGTGGTCAGGGAGAGTGGCAACTAGAGGGGCGCAGAGGCAGGGTAAGCGTAACAGTGAGAATGTATGGGCACCTCGCCGATGCCTGATCGGCGGTCAAAAGTAGTTTCCCAGTAAGTTGGCAGAGCGCAGACTCCGTTCACTGTAAACCGATCAGCGGCGCTCAGACTTCGTTGCAAGTGCAATTTTGTGTCATTGAACCAATGTATTTTTCACAATCACGTGGATATTGTTTGTTCTCAGCGAAAGTTCATTTTCAGTGAGGCCGTTATATGTGGGCTCGACTGTAATATTTGTGTAGTTTTAGTTAACGAAGACTTTTTTACCCCTTATGTAAATTGATCCATAACTAATTTGCACTTCTCCATAACTCCTTTTTCGATAATCCAAATTTGCTCAAAATGCCATCCCTCTTCCTGCTCCAAAGCTACTTCAAATGACTGAAGCCCGCTTCCACTGTTGGATATCGCTCATTGTGTGCAGGCAAGCCAATGGAGGCACCCTATGTGCCACCCTCTCTCCCCACTGATGAGGACACCCTCTTTTCGACGATCTCCACTGGCATCAACTTTGACAAGTATGATGCCATTCCCGTGGAAGTGAGCGACCCGCAGTTTCGGATGCCGTTCACTAGTTTTGAAGAAATGGGCCTATGTAACCTCCTGCTGCAGAACTTGCGGCGTGCCAAGTACGTCAAGCCGACACCCGTACAGAAGTATGCAGTCAAGATTGCGTTGGCTGGCAGGGACTTAATGGCCTGCGCACAGACGGGATCTGGAAAGACGGTGAGATCTAGCTGTTGGCTTTCTTAGGTGCACTTAGAGCCATGCTTGGTATTGCCGCAACTTTCGCAGATCTTCTGAAATAATGTGAGCCCCACAGATTAGTGTCCACGACCGGCTCAATGATAAATAGCATCACAGGTGAGGTTTTCAAGTGTGCTGGAGTGAAGCAGGGAAATGAATACCATATTTACTTGCGTAATCCTCGCACTCGCACAGTTCTCGCACCCTCCACTTTGCCCAACAAAAATACGATTTCTTTTTTTTCCTCTAGTAATTATCGCACCCCCGAAAACTGCTGCAATAGTGTCATCCGCTCTTTCCAGCCACTGATGATGATAGCGCACGTCATCTGGCGCCATATCTTCAGCATCAAGCGTACTATTGCACAGAGATCCAATCCAACTCAAGCCAAGCCGAAGTGGCCAGTGCGCGTTGGGTGTTTTGTATGTTGCGTCGGTAACCTTGTCAAGTTATGAGGCGATACTGAAGCTGTACGGCTGCTTTCAAGTTGCAAGGGATAGATAATGCACTAAAGGACGGAAACAGGGCCGCCGGAAGGCCCTTGGGATTGATGGTAAACTTTATTTCTTAAGGGGGGATGCTACACCTTCCAAAAACTCTTTTATTTTTGCGAGTACCTCAGTCAAATTTGGAGAGCCTATGTAGATTTTACTGCTGATTTCAAAAATCTAATTCTTTTTTTGCTGTGCAATTAGTTTTAATGATATAATGAACTGCGACTTTTTCAATTAAGACCTTATTAGCTAATTAACTGTAACTTGGATATTGATGTGCAACCTATAGAACCAATTCGGTATGTTCACAGTGTGCAATAAAGTATAAATCATTGTTCTGGGCTATTTCGAAGCAAAGTTGTGGGATGTTGAATATGACATGAAAAATTTCCCCATCTACACTTGAAACAAAAGATCCATTTAGAGAATTTTCTCCAAAAATTATTACAGTAAAACTTACTTTACGACACATCCCCTGCATTTATCTTCGAAACAAAAAAGAAATCGTAATGATAACCCAGATAGAACAAGAGATATTGCTCCGGCATAATGGGAAGCACATGAAAATTGTCGTTTTGAGAAATCGAGAAAAAACGTGGGCACACATTTTTATTGCAGAAGATGCAACAAGACTACCTCAAAACGCACCAGAAGCATAGTCTGAATGCATTCTGTGCTCATGCCTCCTCTTCACTAGCTTCCGGAGTTCCAATGAGGCTGTTCTTTTCTTGTTAGAGACAATGCTGCGACGGTGGTCTTTTTCTCTCGCTCTCCTGGCACCAGTACTTGTCGCATTCATGTCCATTTCACCTAAGATTGCCGTTGCAGAATTCAAATTGCCCGTGTTGAAGCGCAGCACTGCTTCTGCAACAGCTGCTTCAACAGCGAACAGGGACGCATGGTGCTCCTTGGGGGCCAAACTCCAGATTACCGAATGTAGGCTCTCGTTGGAGTTCTGCGTTTTGCCGCGTTCGCACCTCTGAAGCAGGGCTCTTTCCGAAAGCCGGGTATAAACCGGTAGTAATGCCTCTGCCACGTTTTTCGGTAGATTGTAGGCATGCCTGGGGTCGGGCTCACCCTTTGCTTTTGCGGCATTGTGCCGACACCATGAAGTTTCACCAGCTGGGCACAGACTGTGGTCCGAGCATTCATCAGTGGAGGTTACGTGGCGGTATGTGGCCATCACAGCCTTTTGCATCTCGCCCACGTCACCTTCATGCGATTTCAGAGCCCGGCCATAATATGTGCTCAGCCTGGTGATCAGCTCACCTGTGAGCCTGCCTTTCCCACCAAGGCCTCTTTTCCCATCGCACTTTTGTTTCTGCACCAGGTTTCTCAATGCGGTGCCCATCCGTTTCTCTACATGATTAATACAGTCTTCCTTCTGCACGTCAATGTAACCATACACCTTGGCGTCTTGTATGGCGCAAAATGTCCTAGAGTCTCCATCAGACAGCATAGTTGTGTAGCGCAGGCCATGGCGTTCAAGCGACCTCTGAAATAGAATTAGAGCTGCCTCCACTTCCATTTGCCCCGCTTTGCTGTTCGTATTTTTTTGGCATTTGTGGTTAGCCTTCCATTCTTGATAGCTCTCACTATTAGGCTTTGGGCTCACCTCGCAGCCTAGGCAAAAGTTGGAAAGAACGACGTAGTCCAACACGTAGCCACTAAATAATTCGATAACTGTGCCCACGCCGATGTGGGAAGAATGGCCTCGCGTCTTCCACGTGCCGTCGTAGCTAACGGCAATATTGCCCCGGTGGCCGAAGCACAAGTCATCATAAATTGTTCTAACCTTTTCCGCACATTCGCTCATAGCGGACTCAGCCGCTCGCGTTGCAGCGGGTGCCAGCGTGTTCTTCAAATGCCGCTGAAACGTCTTGTGGTGCATACCGCGGTGTGAGATGCCCATTGTTGCGAAAATATCGTTCATTTTCGTTTGGCCGTTGCCGGTAGCCACCATCGCCCTCGAAGCGAGAAGATTTACTTCAAACGGATTGCACGTTTTCGTGCCGTTCGCGCGGGGCGAAGTCCATTCATTCGCGATCTCGCCGCACCTTTCACACTGCACTAGCACTTTCACGGCAAATCCGTAGTCCCGATCCCCTCTGACGATCGTAGCCGGTCCGTGGCAGGCTTTGCAACACAAGGCACCTATTATCGCGTTTAGGATATCTAGATGCATAAGCAGATAAGGAGCAGCGTGGTCCGAGTCCTGTGCGGTTGCCTCGCTACAACTCGCGGTGAAAGTCAATTTTCCGTGCAGTTGCTGGCGCCGATGAAAGCCGGTCGAGCGTCGCTTTCTCCCGGGCATGATTTTCTTCAACTTCGGCGTTTGTCACCACCTTGGCGTCGATTCGTAGTCGTCCGGAGTTCGCTTCACCGTCATCGTCGTCGGAGGCAACGCGCTCGGTCGCACCATCGCTGAACGGCCGCGGAGCGTCGACACATCGTTCGTCGGAGTCAACCAAGGGCTCTGATGACTTCGTAGACTTTCTCCCACGACCTTTGCGTTTCCTGCGACCAAATGCGTGCACGGTCCGATACTTTTTTGCGTTTCCAGGCATGGCGATACGATCAGAAGCTTCAGAGTGCTCTGCCGATTTCGAGGCGTCACAGCGGTAACCCTTTCAAAATGGCGTCGGGTCGCGTATGCAGGCGCAAGCCGCGAGCTTCCAGCCAACCGGAAAACGCCATTTCAGTCACGTGCGCCGTTTAGCCAATGGCAGTGAGCGCGGCTCTTCGTCTTTGAGGCCCCGTTTTTCGAGCCGGGGAAACGCTCAATGTTGCTTACTGAATAAAAAAAGCAGCTGAAAACGCGTTCTTTCAAACAAGACCAAAATGGCGCCGATCGAGCGCGTAGTTCCCGCGTATCGTAGAGCCGAAACCTGCGCTATTCGCCCTCAATTTAAAGGGCAGGACGCCCGTTTTCGGTTTTTTAAAGTTGAATAACGATAAAAGTTGATGGTATTCGGCTATGAAATTTTGTAAATAGGTGCGCAATGATGTCGGGAACGCGAAAAGAATGTCCGCGAAAACTCGATTTTTGGGCTAATTTTCGGTCCCGAAGTGCCGCGTCCCCCCTTAAGAAGGAAACTGCGGACAATTCTGTTAAATAGCCATCAGCCCAATACTGACGTCTCACGCTTACCTTTTAAGGGGGGAGGCTACCATCGGATACCAACTTTTTTGTTTATTGAGATATCTTAATGAAATTTTCAGGATAGACTTATAGCAAAAGCATTAGAAGAACTACAAAATTTCATCAAGTTATGTTCACTGGTTTTCAAGTTACAGCAGAATATCGGGGTAGTGCACATGGTTCTCTTATTCCAGGCCTGGAGAACTTTCAAAAGGTGCTGGAACTGTGAAATTAACTATGATGATTCCCAGATTGATACTCCAGGGGGTAACAGAGCCCTTTTTTTGAATTTCCTTGCTGAAAAGTTTTAGCAGACCATCAAACTTTGTGTTCGTGATTAGGATATTATCAATCAAATTTTGATTGAATATAATAAATAACACACACAATATATTGAAAAAATGGGCTTGTCACACCCTCAGAAATTTATTCATGTACATAATAAAAAAAAGACGTATGGAAATCCAATGAGTGGTTCCAGAGATATGGCTGGAATAAGCAGCCTCACTAGCCAAAAAAGTCATTTAGAGAAAACGTTTGAAAGTTTTGAGCACATAGGCAGTTCTAAAATGAACCTGCAGCGTAACTGGAGGTGTCCTTTGGCACTCTTTCTTTGCCGCCTTTCCATCTTCTCTAGGGATCGCTTCTTAGCCTTTTTCAAGCGCAGAGAATCTTTCTCGGCTGCCCGTTGAATGGCCAGGTGGCCAGGTGTTAGCCCCGCTGATGAAGCTAGCTCTTGGGTGGCCCTGTAGCAGCCAGCATTGTATCTTAGCACTGCATCATGCAGTGCTGTCTCCACAGCAATCAGTGACGCATGCTGCTCTTTGGGCATGAGGGACCACAGCACAGAGTGAAAAGACTCTGATGCATTCTGCGTCTTTGCTCCCAGGCAGCAGTTGTGTGCCTCCTCGTACCTTCATCCCAATCGCGGTGCACCGGTGGCACGGGGTCAGAGATAGCAGGTCACCTAGGGCATCCATTTGCACAAGGAAAAATTTTTCGCCTTCACTTGTAGCGGTGGCAGCTTCAAGATCGCGCTCCATTGCCTGAAATTTCCGCTCCGTCGCTGGCATAGCGCCAAGTTCTCTTTGCACAGCAGCGCGTTGTTGATCCGCCGCCTCTTTCTCCTCGCACGTCAGGAAACTTGTTCGCAAATGCACAGTTGACGACGCGATCGCACTCGAGGCCGATGAAAGAGAAGATGCGGAAGCCAGTGTCGATGAGCACGAGACACCAGGCGCACTTGTAACGACAAATTCTTGCACCGGCGGAGCAGGAGTCCCGTTGGTAGGCGCGTCGATGCGACCACTCTCTTGCGTAGATGAAGCAGAAGCTGCCCCACAGGTACGGTCGGCGCGATCACCGTCGGCGCACGTGCGAGCGGAGAGCCTCGCCGCGCGGACAAGCTTCATAGCTCGCTTCCTTGCACCGAACGATTGTAGCGTCTTCTTTTTCGTTGGGCGCATCGTGAGCGAACACAACAACGGTCTCGTAAAGACGGTTGAAAATCGTTTCGAAGACAGTTGAAACGTGGAGAGTATGCGAACGGCTGCAACGATACACGGAAGCGAGCGGAACACAAAGACGCCGGACGGAGGAGCAGCAGATGAGCGGCCACATCGGCCGCATTATGCGCAAGAGCGCTACGTCGCAAGAGCGCTACGTCATCGCGCGCAGCAGCCAACGGCAGTCGCGGGCTCCCCCGCGTCCTTGGAGAGCGCACGCTTCGCCCAATCCCAGCTGCGCGCCTCAGCCGCGGCAAACTTTAAGCTCTCGCGAGCCCTCCAATCATGAGCGGCTTGCTCCTCTCCTGCGCTGCTGCCGGCGACGCAGGTGGCGGGGAAAGAAAAAGCAAGAATTCACAAACAAAACACCAAAATGGCGGCGCTCCGTCGAGCGGTCGAGAAACTGCGATCACGCCAAGTTGGGGTATTTTGAGCGCTCGCGCGCCGCTCGAGGGCCGCCGCGGCATGTTCTAAACTTTATTTCAAATGGTTTCACGACGAATTAGACGTTGATGTTTACAGAAAAGGTAGTTTATGACACATACTGCCCGAATATGTGGTTTGCCAAAATCGACTTCGCGATTTTTCGGTTTTCAAAGGCCGCGTCCCCCCTAAGGGCTCCTGTTGAGACGAACGCTACTGCTACGCCCGCACCGTCTGCAAGCTTTGCGTATGGTATTCTAATTCTCGACTATTTGCTTCCACTTTTGGTGTCTCAATTAAAACTTGTCTTGTGCTGAACCTCTGCTTTTATTGTTGAGGTAAGTTTTAATTAGTACTTCTTAAAGATTTGCTGCCACTTCGTTTTCTTTTTCGCTCTGTACGTTTACGTAGAAAGTTTTCCCCGCGCAATTCTCGCACCCCCCAACTTTTCATCAGGTTTTCTGGCGAAAAAAGTGCGAGGATTATGCGAGTAAATACGGTATACAGTCGAATCTCGTTATTTTGAACACGTTTGATTCGAACTTCCGGTTAATTCAAACTCATGATGAGGTCCCGTCAGTCAAAGCTGTGTGTATTCCAATGGGCGAAAACTCCTTGTAATTTGAACGCTCAACCACTTCCGGCGGGTAATTCGAACATATCGCACTCTGAAAATGCTCTCTGCACACCACCCAATTCTGCCGCGGCACCTGGGACACCTCAACGCTGCCTGCGAAGGAAATGAAAAGGAAAGTAAAGGCTGCGGTGAAATGTTTGCTCTCTCTAATGCAGATCTGAGACGACCCGTGTCACGTTATCTTCTGCGGCCCTTGCCCCTGGAGGGGGGGGGGTCTTTCTTTGCCCCTTGAGGGGGGTCTTTCCCAGGCTGGTGCCAGGCTTTTCTCTTTCCTTTCGCTGCCAGGTAATCCTTCTCTCTTCTAGAGAGAGCAAAAAAAAAAAAAAAGCTGCCGTGGAGTGTTGGTTTTCTCTGAAATTCTCTCCGCGTGGAGACGCTCCTCATTTCTCATCACGTGCTGGCCGTGCTGCGGCGTAGCGGAGAGCAAGAGGCTCTGCTACGCAGCAGTCGTTATTGTCGTCTTTAGAAAGTGTAGGCGCTGTGGACATTTTTTCGCGCGCAACTTCTCTTGCCAGGAGAATGCTCAAGCCGCAGTAGAAATGCTTTGCAAGCTGCGTGCGAAATCGACTCTCTGCAAGGCAAACGTGTGCAGACGCGCATCACCGATTACTTCAAATAACGGTTGTCCTGTGATTTGTGAATGAATGAAAGTCTTCTAAAACTTCCCCCTCGTCTGTTGGCTCAATGCACATGCGCCACTGTATGGAGAGCCCTTCGTTTATTTCGCTTTCATTAGTTCGAACAAATTTTCGGGACACTTTGAGTTCTAATTATCGAGATTCGACTATATCTGCCTGATTTACACCTTGAACAAACTGCTCAAATTCCTATTCTACCAAGCCCGCCGCGGTGGTATAGTGGCTAAGGTACTCGGCTGCTGAACCGCAGGTCGCGGGTTCGGATCCTGGCTGCGGCAGCTGCATTTCCGATGGAGGCGGAAATGTTGTAGGCCTGTGTGCTCAGATTTGGGTGCACGTTAAAAAACCCCAGGTGGTCGAAATTTCCGGAGCCCTCCACTACGGCGTCTCTCATAATCATATGGTGGTTTCGGGATGTTAAACCATACATATCAAATCATCCTATTCTACTAATATCTTAACTGCGCCATTGGAGAGTTGAAGCGCTGGTAATGGCAGTATGTGTGCCTGCGAGGCTTGTGTTCGCTGGTGTCGAGTGAGGCTTCGGCTCAAAAGCAAATATGACTGTGCAAATAAAGCTTATCGGAAACAAAGCTGTGGTAAGCTGATCTCCTTCATGCTTATTACATTGTAAAGTTTTGACTTATCTTGACAACACAACCGAACGGCGAAAGAAACGGACATCAAGTGGCAGAGGGAACGCTTGCTTTGTTGTCTGCCTGCCAAGTTTAGTGGCGGTTTATTTTTATGCTTTGTAAAATTGTACATCGACGCCGAAGTCGGACGTGAGGAATGCTTTGAAGCCAGAGAAGTCTTCAAGGTGTCTAGGCTCTACGTGAACGTTAAAAATCATTCAAGTTCACAGCTCGCATAACGCCGCGTACCTGTCAGTCCGCTCAAGCTATCTTTGCAGCAGTACACTCAGTCATTTGAAGCACTGTATAATATTTCTGCAGCCGCAAGAAATCCAACAAAAGCATGCGCCAACTTTTTTTTTCACCACCACTAAGGTCACCAGCTTGGCAGATCCTCATATGAATACTCAGTCTTTCAAACGACTTGACCAATGCTGGTGTATGTTGAATTGTTGGTGTATGTTGCTGGTGTATGTTGGTGTATGTTGAAAGGGTATGTTGAATTGTTTAAACATCTTGTTTTCTAAATGTAAGCCTTCTTCTATTTCGATTATGCTAGAATATTTTTAATTTAGTTGCTGGTTGCCGTGGCAGCAGATACATTGGCGGTGCCCTTGCTGCTGCCCTGTACCTGCTTCACAGTAACTCCTCTACATCTCTCTTGCTTAGTTTCATTTAGTGCATCGCTCCACTGAGCCAATTGTGAAGAATCTGTAAAGGTACTGAGCCTACCAGTGAATCAAGGAGTCTGGATAAACGAGTTTTTGTCAATCTGTGGCGCAGGCGGCATTCATGCTTCCCATTCTGCACTCACTACTGAGTGACAGTAGCCTCGAGAACCCGGCGCACCAACCTGTACAGACTCCGATGGCGGTCGTCCTATCGCCGACGCGCGAGTTGGCCATCCAGATTGCCCAGGATGCGCACAAGTACGCCTACGACTCGATCCTCAAGACTGTGCTTGTGTACGGAGGGACTTCAGTGCAGCACCAGCTAGCCGTGCTGTCCCGAGGCTGCCACATTCTGGTGGCCACCACTGGTCGCCTCAAGGACTTCGTAGAAAAGGGCAAGGTGGGTGTGCAGTAGCAGGCTATGCTGGAATCCACCTGCCCTTGCTATTTGCTGTCAAGACTGAAAAAGAATGGTTGTGTAAAGTGATGTAAGAATGCTAGTTTTCATTTGGAAGAGAAACCTAGACTTTTCAGTAGCATTAGTTGCTTGCAGCGTTAAGGGGTGACAAGGCTTTCATTGTTACTCTTGAAACTTCATGAACATACAACTTTTTAATGTAGTCTCCAACCGATTTGTCGGACCTGGCGAGGACCGCGAAACAGTCCGAAAAACTGTAAAGCCGAAAAAGTTAACAAGCCATGATGCCATGCTGTTCTTGTGGACAAGCAAATTTGTGCTACGGTAACGTCGCTCGTAATAGTGTTGGTAATCGCTGCCACCGTCTGTTGCGGGTGGCAAAGTTTGTAACTCCATGGAACCTCGCGAAATTGTCTAGTGGAATCGCCACAGGTCTTCACGTCCACATAACCTTGGACTGATAGAGGTGCTGGAATTAGTAGGGTCTGGATGTCGAGACAGCCACGCTCTTGCAGTGAACGGACACAGCAAGTACGGTCCGGAACAAACAAAACAACTCGCACATTTAAGTAGCTTTAGAACAATATCATCAGTCGAATTAATAAAACATCAATTGTGTTCAAACACGCTAAACAAATTTAAACATAATTACGCTATGCTCAACAGCATAGCAAACACAAGGCGGCAGTGCGAACGCTTGATTCGCCACAAAGGCCCTGGCAGATGGCCCAGATGGCACCGGGGACCCATGAGAGACAACCGTACGAGCGAACTGCCACGCTCCAGACACTCGCTCAGCTCTCTCTCGTGCCACAATTGACTCCTGCCGCCTGGGTTCGCCGTTGGCCGCTACTAATCTAACCATGACGATAGTAGTGATCAACGCTCTGGAACACAATGCTTCTGCGCGAGACGTGCACCATGCAGCGCAAACAGCTTTACAGGGGGCGTCATCACCCCCACAAGATACATATGGGACTAGGACCAGGCAAGGTCGGTCCTGAAGATTTTTCTCGTACGAGTCTTGCAAGGAAATAACATTTTTATATTTATTCCGCATGCAGGGCAACGCCTGAAAATTCTCATCTTTGTTCACTGGAGCACTGTAATGCTGCCTATCAATTTCTCTAGGCCTGTTGATTGGTAGCTTCACCAGAGTGCATTTCAATCGCCCATACATCTCTAGCTCCGTCATGGAGCATACTGTGCTCGTGTGCCACGCTTGTCCACAAGCCATGGCTGGTAATTTTGTTCGCAGGTAGATGACTCCGATAGCAAATGCGTTTAATTAGCGTGCTTAATTTCGCGTGTTAACGCACTGACACGTGTCATTTTGCTGACCGCAGCTACCACTGTTCAGAGTTGTCTGCACGTTAAGAGCTTGGCTGAGGTTTGCTAGCGACGCACATGATGCCTATTATGTGCGTTAATGACGGACTGGACGACTGCTTGTACGGAAGTAACCAGGTTTTATTTTTAATAGACACGTGAGAGAAGTGGCCCAAGCCTGCGTGACAGACCAAGATGATCAGCGGTTGTGATGTGTTGCTTGCGACGAATCGCATTAATGGCTTCTTTGCTTTCGCATATTGCAGTGGAATGGTCTTGCCTGCAAAGTTTGGGGCAGAGTTGGGGCTAGTCATGACATTGAGCAGAAAGTGCAGCTGTGGCGTGCATGGTCGTGACGCCTGATGTTTCCAAGTACGACGAGCTTGATAACGAGTACAAAGATCTGTTTTGTGGTAGTCTTCGTTTCAGCCAATCGGAGGCCTCCAAATGGATTTCAAACATCTGCTTTTTGTTCATAGAATGCTCTTTACGAAATACTTTAACTGCTTTTACGATGAGCCCAAAATAGTGGCGAGCAATTGTGCCGTTGTGTAGCTAAAATACACTTTTTAAATGCAGTTTATTTAACTTTTGTGACTTCAACAGGGATTTTCACTACCTCGGCGGGTGCAAGATACTCCTTGCAGCACTTCTACGTAATTTGAAGTTTAATTTTGAAATTAGATTTTAAACATTCGTAAATGACTTCGTGTAATTCTTTCCGGTCCATAAAAGTGTATTGTAGCAATACATAAATTTCACATCACTTTTTTTACTACAGACTAAAATCTTCCTCACTGTGGAGGTCTGTTGTACTAATTAGATTATGAAGCATTTTTTTATTGACTCGCAATAAAAAGTGATACCAATACTTGTGCCCGGCTAATTGTGCAGTTTAATCTTTCTGTGGTTGCCATTATTTCAGATTTCCTTCGAGAAGCTGCGCTTCCTGGTGTTGGACGAGGCCGACCGGATGTTAGGACATGGGCTTCGAGCCGGACGTGCGTGCTCTTGTGGGTCACTCCAGCATGCCTCCGAGGGGCCAGCGCCGGACCCTCATGTTCTCCGCCACATTCCCAGAATCCATTCAGATGCTGGCGCGGGAGTTCCTCGACAACTCTGTTATGCTCTCGGTGGGCATTCTGGGCGGGGCAAACTCGGATGTGCAGCAGCAGGTTCACCAGGTCAGCCAGTTCGAAAAGCGCCAGAAGCTTCTAGACATCCTTGCTGAGGAGGGCAGCGACCGGGTCATGGTCTTTGTCGAGAAGAAGAAGACTGCCGACTTCTTGGCCGCCTTTCTGTCCCAGAAGGAGGTCAAGACCACCAGCATCCATGGGGACCGGTACCAGCGACAACGCGAGGAGGCCCTGCTGGAGTTCCGCCGGGGCACCTGCCCGGTGATAGTGGCCACTGCAGTGGCTGCCCGTGGCTTGGACATCAAGGATGTGCGCCACGTCATCAACTATGACTTGCCGCAGTCGATTGACGAATATGTGCATCGTGTGGGACGCACTGGCCGTGTGGGAAACCTGGGTAAAGCGACCAGCTTCTACGACAGTGACGCCAATAGTGCACTTGCACCTGCACTTGTGAAGATTTTGTCAGAGGTGCGTGAGTGTCTGGTCTTTGTTTTGTTTGTGCCATCTACCACTTTTGGACGAGGTGTCGAGGAAAAAGTGCCCATTCAAGGTGTAAAGTGTATAACATAAATGCTTACAATGCAACATCATTTACAACCGCTTAGCAGTTGCCGGAAAGTAGTCCGACAAATGTCCTAGTGAGAGCGTATCTCTAAGAACTTAGGCCACAGGAAGGGAGTGGTTGTTACAGCTTGCAGGGTTTTTGCTGTACATGTACGGCAGCACCTAACACGGACCAAAAGGTTTTCGCAGTGTATGTATGGCACTGCCTCTGTGTTTAAAACCAGTCTTTTTATCATTTTTCATGCGCTGCCATGCTTCGGAAAACCGTGAAATTTTCTTTATGCGCCAATGTCTGTTATTTTTTATGCTCCGCAAGGTAACTCTTTTCAAGCATGCCCGTGGTGCGGCTAGGGTTAAAATGTGCGCCTGATATTTTTTTCTTAAATGTCAATACTGCATTTTAGATGTCGGTACTGTCAGTACTAGGGCGGCCCGGTGCAGAAAGGCAGAGGGTCAGCCAGCTAGTTCCAGTGCTCTAAGACTGCAAAATCGAACGCTGGGCTAAGTTTGCCGAAGAGCTGAGATATTATCCTCAGGCGTGCGCATTTGAGGTACGACTTTGTACGCTCGCACAACACGAAATAGCAAAAGTGATCGTGTACCAAAAAGAGCTCGAGGATATATATATATACCTGCTCAGCTATCGCGTATTGCATGTTGCAAACACGCATTGACCAACTTTAGTTTGTCTGAAGTTTAAACACGTGTAAAAGTGGCATTTCGAGTAGACTCAACGCCGCCGGAGCCAGAATCTATGCCGAACCAAAAGTAGCTCTTTCCAACTTATCGCAATTAAAACACCTGTGTGCACAGAATACGCATGAGGCTGTATTGTGGTTGGTCGTAAATTGTTATGCGCAAGTGAAAAATGTAGGTTAAAAATTTGTTGAATTTGATCGATTCTACTCGTATATTTCTTGTAGCAAAGTGCAAAATGTTTGTGTGCAGAGTCAGCAAGAAGTCCCAGAGTGGCTTCAAAACGAAGCCAAGTTCGGGGTGGAGGTGGTGGAGGTGGCGAAAAAGCTCCGGTGAGTGCTATTAGTTTATTATTATTAATTAGCTATTAGTTTATTAATGCTATTTTGTGTTTAGGACCTGTTCTCGCTCACTTTGCGCTCGGCTCATTGCACGCGTGCGGAAGCATTAAAGCGGCTGTTAATTTGCGTGGAACGATTCACGTCTGTAAGGCCACGCAAACCCGTTGGCGCAACAAAATGATTCTTTGACCACGGCAGTCAATTCTTTGAACACCACTGCGCGCGCCAATCCAGGAGGCCGTGCTTAGACCTAGTTTTCGTACGCGCGAGTTGCGCGTTTCGCAGGATTTTCCAAGCAAGCTACCAGACCTTGCCTACTTCCCGTGTGTTTTAGTTTACAAGGTCGCATGTCAAAGTTAATGGAACCTACCGTGAAATACCGAGCAAGGGTCTTCTTTCCCAACCGAATAGGCCGGCTCGTTTCACTTCCGCTTTAGCCGCATTCGTCGCCTTTGTTCACGCGCTTTCAGCAGCGAATAGAACATTGACACGTGGGGGTACTGTTACTTCATATGGGAGATCACTGCGACGGTAGTGTTTATATCGCAGTTCTGAAGCAAATGGCACAATTTAGCGGAAGTGTTTGAAAAAGGCAGCGCAGTCAAGCCCACATATAATGGCTCCACTTAAAATGAACTTTCGCTTAGAATAAACAATATCCGTGTGACCTATATACTAGCGTGGAAACATACTTCCTTTCAATGACACAAAATCGCGCTTGCAACGAATGTCTCAGAGCGTCGCCGATCTGTTACAGTGAACGGAGTGAGCGCAGACTTCCCGGAAATCACTTTCGACCACTGATCAGGCATCGGCAAGGCGCCCATTGTAAAACACCGACCCTGCCTCCGCGCCCCTCTAGTTGCCGCTCTCCCTGACGGCTTTTTGTTAAGCACCCCTCTGTCCTTGTGATCAGTGGCCCATGTTTTCACACTGCCACTGATCTTTCTAAGACCAGTTAACCATCTCCGCTATTTTTGATCGCTGGTATCTTGTTAGCATCGCCGGCCTGGAGTGACCAGACCATTTGCCAACATTATATCTTCGAGCCAATTCTTCGAACACCGCCGTGCACGCCGATCCAGGTGGCCGTGCTTAGACCTCGTATTTATACACGCAGGTTCTGCATTTCGCGGACCTTTCAAGCAAGCTACCCGACCTGCCTCCTTCCCGCGTGTTTTCGTTTTCAGTCTCCTTCTTGCTGTAACCTCCCGCTCTCTTCACTCTATTGCAACTCCTTGCCCTTCTCTCGCATATCTGCTACTTGAATTTCCTAAATGCGACCTCCTAAACGTGGTACATCGGTGTGTCAACCTGTCAAACTCATTTCTCAAGTAGTAATGCGGTGTGGGGAGGGTGAAGCAGTGAGTGCGGTAACAAGCTATTACAATGTCACACGAAGGGCAAGCAACCCCATATATGCAACCTGCTGCTCAAGCATGAAGGACGCACGAAAGGAAAGCACACAAGACGAGTGCAAACAAACCAAGAAGGGTGCTAGAAAAGAACACATTTGTATCCACAGGGTGAGTGTAAATTAACCACTGTCACAGTTGTTACTTCTTGGTTGTTGAGCAACATGCTGCGAGTGTAAACTGCACAAGTTGTCACACTTGATGCAGTGGTGCCATTGAATTTCAAGACTATTGCAAGCACCGTGTGGCTTTAAGAATATATTTTAAGTCACTTCCAAGTGTACCTAAATGCTCATTCTCCTAAAGAGGCTCATCGCGAGTGTGTCCAACATTGACACAGCTCTATAGAAGGGGTAACGAAAGTTCTAGTGAAGTCGCACCAGACCTGTAGTCTGGTGAGTGACCGTGAATTTCTCCAATGTTGCAGAGCTATGGTGGAGGGGGTGGCAGTGGCGGCGACGAGTCTTGGGGCGGTGGTGGCGGCGGTGGATATACATCCCAGCAAGCTGATGAGGAGGAATGGAACTGAGCATTCGACAAGCCTCCAAAGGGGCCAGCCTCCGTGCGTTTTGTGTGTGTGTTCTTTTGTTTGTGTGTGGACATGACCCCCTGACCAAGAAGGGTAGATTTTTTTTGTACATACTTCACCACAGTTGGGTGTCAAAAATATTTTACCACGTGTTCAGTTCAAATAAAAGTTTTTTTTTTCAATCTCTGTATACTTTGCAAGGGTGAGCAATTATGTGCTTAGAGGTATCCCCCTCCCTCACACACACACACACACATGTTCAGGATTAATTTGATGTACATACATAGCCTTACAAAAGGTTAGTTTGCAATGATGCTGCTTGCTTCCTGTTGCTTGAAAGTGCTCGAAAGGCTGACGTGCCATCGAAACAACCAGACGCTTCTACTGGTGTGTAGAGGAGGCTTAGTGGTGTCCTTAGAGGGTGCGGCCCTTAGTTTGTGTACGGGGCAAGTGCGACTGCACATAGTGTGATTTGTAGTACGAGGCTGCTGTGTACGCAATGCTTGTTTTCAGTGAGCCTCTGTACTCTGTGTATAGTGCCAATGTCCTCCCAACCGAGGTGTGCCTGGCAGTAGGGGTCTCGTAGAGTAAATTTATTTTACAGTTGTCAAGGAGGCGTAGATGAGAAAATGCAAGCGTTAGTTGTGCTTGCATGTGCGTCCACCATCCCCTTAAAGCTGTTGCATAGACAATACTTTACTCTAGTCTTAAATCTGCTAGACATCTGGCCATAATCCTGCTAGCACATGCGTATTCGCTGAAATTGTTCAGATATACCAGATGGACAACTCTTACGTTTGTTACGTACACAGGTGTAACTGCACACTGAAACTTGAATGGAATGAAATGAAAAACTTTATTTCAGTCCTGCAGGACGCGCTTGAAATTATTCCAATTAATCGTGGCTGTTCGTTTGCCGTGCCAGCTAGTTTGTGGCTCCAAGGTTTGTTTTTCAGCAATACCTGGTCACCAAGACTACAGCCGCATGATCAAACTCTGGCTGTAGCCGCAATTTTGATTGAAGTACTCCACTACGGAGTCCCTGATAAATAAGAACCAGAACTTCAGGCAAACTGACATCTTCATTGCAACACAATAGTCGCACATGAAAAGCATGTTGCCTGCTTCTCTCTTCTCGGAGAGTGTGTGACGAAATTGGCAATGTGTTTTGGCTAGAAAGTCTCCATTAAAGCTTTCGGCCAGTTGCGGACCCTTCTGGCTGCTCCAAGCCCGCTAGATGCGCATGCCAATTTTGTATGTCGTGGGTGAAGGAAGTTCTACTGGAAGGAAGAGCATGTGTGCTCTTCCTGCAGTTCAGGGATGAAGCTTCCGTCAGTGCAGAGGTGGGCAATTTTAATTGTTTATCGAAAATGTTTTTATGCTATTAATAATTTTTAGGCAGCCTCTGGCATGTTTACAAAGCATGCAGCGCTACCCGACCTCGTCAAGTTGGATTTGCATTTTTATGTTGGCAGCGTCTCCAGCGGCGCAGCAGCCAGCCCCACACATTATTTATTATTATTACTTAAAGCTAGTTAATTGTGTAAATTCGTGTGTTGTGCATTAAACCTACAAAAATTTTACTAAGCAGGTGTTTAACGAGTCAATTAGCCTAGGTTATGTAAATGTCTGTATTTTAAATACAGGGGGCGCTGCGGCTGCGAAAGGTAAACTGCGAGATGGTAGCCGCCTGCGATGTGTTTATGTGGTGAAAACTGATGAAATCGTGGCCATGGCCTAGGCCACTCCCAAGGAGGACTGGAGTGTCGTCGCTGCTTCATGCGATTGCTGGATGCTTAGTTGAACCTGGTGGTTGGAGCTAGCGCGGCCGTCCACCGCGCCGCAGCTTCATCTGAGTGTGTGCGCCATAAAGTTTCTCAGTATTATGCGCGGATTACAGTTGTTGGACGCACTGCATTTTCTAGGTTGCAATGCCAAGCGTGGTGTTAAAGGTGAAAGTGTTCTTGCTGCCGAGTTTTGCTTGTCGTGAAGGACAAGGTCGACGATGAAATAAATGCTCTCGCACAGTTCACGTGTGACTGACCGGACGCACATGCGTGAAACCCCAGTGCGTCGGCGAAGTGTTCATATGGTGGATGGAAACAACTTTATTGTAATATTCTTACGAAGGCCGGAGCTACTGCATTGCCGTCTGTTTTGTCAAGTGTGCTGTCACAAGCCGCGCGTGTTATTGAGCAAGGCAGACAAGCTGTTTTGTAGTTACATGGGCTAACGCCGTCGACACTTGCCCTTGGGCATTGTTTATCAAGTGCTGATCGCCTAGAACATTGCGGTGACACGTCAGTATTTTTAAAGAAAGCGGCCTGCCGGTTACCTCGTCAGGTGATGGTACACTGAGCGAAATAAAAAAAAGTTGCCCGAGACTACGTTGCAGAGCACCTTTCTGTCATCAAAACCTTGATAAACCGTGGAAATCAACATTCCTGACACCTGTGCCGAAGAAACCAATGCAGCCAGCTGCATTCGAGTTTTTTGTCTTCTTGCGTCTCGCAGATGAAGAGCACTAATTCGCAAAACACTTTATCATAACAAATATAGTCAATCCTGCAAGAGTCATCGAAGATCCAATATTAAATGGCCTGTGGACGGGACCACCACCAGCAGCAAGTCGGGCTGATGAGGAGCCGCAAATGTTAAAACAATACATGCGTGCACAAAAAAAAAAAAAGAGAAAGTATCGATAACTGCAATGGGACTTGAACCACCGACCTCACCAGTTGATGTGTTGCTTTTACCAACTACGCCACAACTGCCGATCAGTTTGAGATGGCAAACAAGCCAGTTTGGTATTGTTGTCACGTTAAACCTAACTAACGGTAGACACTGCCGACTATTCAAACAAAGCGCCCTACCGGAAAAGGCATGACGTCACTTCCGTGCGGCGCAGCAGCCGTTTCTGTGTGGGGCAGGCTCGCGCACCGCGCGGCCCAGCAGTCTCTGCCTTTTATGTTTACAAAGCCGGCTTTAGATTTTGGAAGGCGTGGGTCTGTGTCCATTCTCCGATGTTGTTCGTAACAACCGGTGGCACATACCTGCTAATAGAGTGGGTATGTGCCACCGCGCGAGATAAGAGTTGGCGGTACTTGCTCACTAGATGGACAGACAGACTAGGAGGCAGATGGACGGACGCGCGGAGCTGGTATGCGCCGCAGGGGATGCGAGATGGCAGTGCTTTGAAGTGTTCACTAGATGGACGGACAGACTAGAAGACGGGCGGCTGGATGGATGCATAGACAGACAAAAGGACACACGGATGGTCGCGCGGACGGACGGAAGCACGGACGGGCTGATGGACGCTTCGCCCCACTCCATCATCATTCACTCCGTAGATATGCTGCGATTTTTTCTGCAAATACTATGTGAATGCAATCAAGGCTTCGATCGACACCCGTCTGGTCTGGAACATTCATTGATGAGAATAAAAAAGCGTTGGCGTTGCGGGATTCAGAATAGGAGCTTTACGAATCCCCAGTGAGTCGTTAGTTTTACCGCGCCTATCCCCATTGATAGTAAGCTTTCGATGTTTACAGTTTCAACATTTGCCCCGTTTCGAACGCTCTTAGTCCCCTTGCGCTATCTAACGTCTAAGAGAAAAATTATTCTATCAGGTGATTTTATAAAGAGCCTTTCCGTGCACGCGAATGGGCGTGCATACTTTCAACCATGGCGTCGACGTTGCGTGTGACCGCATCACGAAAACGGCTAATTTCGGAGGCTTTCGTGCATTTGGGCTGAAATATCGCAATGATTATCGACAATTTTGGTTTCAGCGCGGACGACGAGAGTTTGTCGAACCGCCCCGGAACATCGGGAGGCGTCCACCGGCGGGTTCAGCTTTGTGCTCGGGCCGCGTTGTTGCCGGCGCGTGTCGGTGTAAGTTGATCCGATGTGTTCGGAAGAGAGAGAGAGAGAAGAAACTTTATTCAAGTGTCCCTGCTGGGGTCAAAGGTGGCGGGGGGCCGGGAGACGGGCCCCTCTGTAACCCCCTTCCTCAGGCGGTGGCCAGGCCTTGGGTCCTGGCGGCGTCTTCGGCCAGCCGGACAGCCCAGAGCTGGTCCTCCGGGCACGTGCTGAGCAGCAATGTCGCCACTGCTCGGCCGTGGTGATTGTGAATGTACGCCGGTTCGTGCTGTGTTTAACTGACTGAGTAGCTTCGGGGCAGGACCATATAATATGGTCGAGCTCAGCGCTAGGTGCACCGCACATTTTGCATTGTGGTGTGTGAATAGCGGGGTAAATACGGCTGTATAGTGACGGACAGGGGAAAGTGCGTGTCTGTAATAGACGCCAGGTAGTGGACTGCTGCTTACCAAGGCACTTGTCTGGTGGTGGGTATTTAAGTCTGGCCTTGCGGTAATACCTTAGGATTTCTCCGAAGGTGAGCATTCTGTCCCTCGCATTGTCGCGAAACGAGGAGACCATCATCTCTCGCTCAGCCGCGTGAGGTCGCGAGGGGTGGTGCTCTGTTGGATGACTCGGGCGGAGAGCTCGGGCGGCGTCATGAGCGTGTTCGTTCCCCGCGAGCCCCGAGTGGCCCGGAGTCCACATGATCTCAACGTGGCGACGACGTAACAGAGGTGTACTTGTGAGAATTCGGAGCGCCGGTTGGGAGATCAAACCTTTGGTAAAGTTACGGATGGCAGTCTTGGAGTTGCTGATGATGCAGGATGCTTGGGTTGAAGTGTAGGCGAGAGAGGTGGCTGCTTCTTCGCCTTCTTCGGGTTTGTTTGCGCGAAGGGTGACAGTTGCGGTAATTATGAACTGCGGCCCGGTGGCGACAGCAAGGGCTACGACCCGATGCGTAGGATATTCCGCTGCGTCTACATACGCCACGTACGTGGCTTTCGCGTAACGCTTGCCTAGTTGCTTGGCGCGGCCTACTCGTCTTTCCACGTTATATTCAGGGTGCATATTGCGTGGTATGGGGGGAATCACGAAAGTGTCACGAATGTCCGAAGGAATTGGGAGTTTCTGGCCAAACTCAGTGGGAGACGTAAGGTATGCCGAGTTGTGTTCGGAAGGTTAGGGCTCTTAACATCAGGGCGTCCATTTCCTTCAGGCCGGACTACTTGCCGGCAGCATCGCACAGAGTGCAGTTTCGAGCGCAGCGGCAGCCGGGAGTGAGTTTTTAACTTAGAACCGCGTTACGCGAGGCGCTTCGTGAGCG